TTCTTCATAAATAACCTGACGAACGCTTGAGCACATTAAATCGAATTTGATTTTATTTAAGGCCACGAAGAAGGCATGAAGTGTGACTTGTTTCGTACCAAGTGCGTTCGGTGTTGCAAATGCCGACCGCATTTCGAATAAGCCGGCATATGTTAGTTGACAGCCTAAGGGTAGCAGGCACTAATGTCCAGAAATGAACGCAAGTATTGTTTACAGAGTAATTCATGTCTGATTGGGGTTGAATTTTTTTTCTTTATTTTTTGGTGTTTTAATGGAATTTCATCAATTAGGACACTATGATACCTCTTTTGAGGAAGATGAATCTCATTAAGGTGCAATACTAAACATATCTCGTAGCGGGAGCCAGTGTTACGCAGAACAACTTGATTTTTACGCAGCAATGTTGCGCGAAAAATTGAAAACCGTGTAGCATGATACCGGGGCAGATTTGTTCGCGCAACATTTGGCTCGACCACATGTTGCAAATTTTTGATTTGCGTTCAAAATCTCGCAACCCAAGGTGAAGAATATTTAAAAAATGGACACGTGTAACATGATTGCCTCTTAACACCCTCTTAATGTTGCGCGAAAAATCGATCGTCGTTGCAAGTTATCTCGTTAGGGGAGGGGTTGGGGAGCAACACGACCTCTACTGTAGGCCTTATTTATGATAACCGCCATGATTGTTTTTAAATTATAATGCAAATCAGGCACGTGATTTCTGAGGGGGCAAACAAGCTAAAATTTCACCTGGTTTCTTATTATGTCTGATAATTGTTTTTCATATCCATGCTTTCGTTTCAGTATTGGGGTGATATTCCAAGTTTTACAGAATTTCGGCGCTTTTATAAAAAAGAAAACGGTTCGCGTAGTTAATAAGTCAAGTTATCGAGAAACTGTTTCAAACTTAAATTAATAATAAAATCATTATTCCATAACTTGGCTCCCAAATGTGATTTTGGTACAGATACTTGACCATTTAGGCGAGCCGATTTTCGGGAAAATGGGAACCATTTGAATGTTTGCCCCCTGGCGGACAACGTGGCTAATTTGCATTATAATACGAAAACCATCATGGCGGCTATCGTTAATATGGGCTGTTGGAGTCCTGCATTTTTCAGCCTCGTTAGCACCGGCGCAAAGGTTCATGATAACGAGTTTGTTGTCAAGTGACGTACTCTTGCTGACACTAGGCGCTTCAAAATAATGGAAAGTTTAGATATCTAAAATGGAGATAGTGGGACTCAAGTTAAGTCTTTACACTATTGGGACTGGGTTTATAAAATTTCCACCAGCAATGACTGAGATCACACGCTCTTTATTAATTATCACGCACAAAAGCTAACAGGTAAAGTTCACCCAGAACAACCAAAAATCGGCTGAGGACTTAAATTAATGTAGGTTGCTAAAAATATTCTTAAGTATAACGAGATTTGTTTAAAATCTTTACTAACTATTGTACAACTGCAAGCAAGCCATCTTACTGTAACCCAAATTTTTCTATTACCTAAAGTACTCATATACAACTTTGCAATGAAGGTAAACACGCAAGCAAATAATAGGCATGAACCGACCGACCTGCAAGCTATATCAAGCTACATCGGCCATTTAAAACAAACAGGAACAAGGCAAGGAATGTAGCTCTTTCCTGGTCATAAAAGCTACGAATAACGTTTGTTGTTACACTTAACGTACGCATAAAAAGCCATCCAAGCATAAAATTATTGATCAAGATTGTTGTGCTATTTCAAAACTTTTGAAATGTGTCGGAAATCCGTTCTAATTGTTTTACAAGCAAACCATTCTACTTATTGATCATTTAACCAAAATCGTGCTCATACATAATTCCTGTATAAAAAGGGTCGGGGAAATGCAGTTAAACACTCATACAAATAAAAGACATGAACTTGAAACTGTATCAAGTTATATTGGCCATCGAATCTTAATTAATTAAGACAAATTAATTAGTTAATTAACTACGAATTAATTAATTTAATTAATTAATTGCTTAAGTAATTAAAAACAGAAAACCATAACGTAAAAATGCATGTTGAGCTCTTAATAAACTTGTTAAGTTAAAACTCTCAAAATGGGGTTATAAAATTCAGTTGTATTTTGTTCTGAGTGCAAATATAATACTCTACCGTACACACAATGTCTTGCTGACAAAATAAACACACCGGGCTCACAAGTGTCTTTCACACATCAATATTATCATTCTCGCTGTTTCGTCTTAGGACACCTCGGTCATCCTTCAGAAATTCAGCAGCATTAGCTTCGACGCATGCTCGGAAACCCTCACGGTGATAAGCGGAGAACATCAATGGAGTGAAGAATTGATTGGCCGTGGAGGTGTTGGGGAACTTGTTACACAGCGCCACCGACAAGCAACTCAGCCAGGATTTTTTGTTGCAACACGCACAGCAGCAGAAGGTCAATTTATCGACGTCCTCTTCCGTCAGATACGGACTATCTCCCCAGTCACGTGGCTCCAAATTAAAACCAAATTCCTCCCAGGTTTTGACTTCGCTTTCTTCACCTTTTCGTGGATCTCTTGGTCTAATGAATAGAATTTCACCTTCTCCAACTTTGCCAGCGTCATCTTGGTAGTATTCAACTCTAAATCTAGTAAAAAGAAGACATTTCTTTTACTCAATATGAAGACGACCGTGTGGTGTGATCGTTCGGATGGGGTAGTCTTGA